TCAAAACTTGTGTTGTACTCTGTAGTGAGAAAGCAGAGGATGGTTGAGATCTTCTTACTCACCTTTCTATTAGAGGTTTATCGCTTTGACGTTTCACAGGATTTTGAACAACTTTCTTAACGAGATGCATAGATCCTTCTGCATCCCACACCATTTCGTACTCACAGTTCTCATCTTCGTTCTTCTCCTTCCTTACACCGCTTGAAAACGTTAACTTCATTACATTTGAGATACAGTCTGCAGCATTGTTTACGAAGCTTATTCCGTGATTTGGCCAAAGAAGGAGAGCAAGAAGGGTAACGACGAATAGAGAGAGATACCTGGTATTCAAAAATTCATAAACATGCATTTCAAACAAATAATCGTAAAGCCAAGAACTCTCTGATCAAGAGCATACCACATATAGATGTATAATTGGCATGGAAGGAAGCATAATTGAGTGTGTACTATTTTTTCAAGATCCGATGAGTTTTGGCTGATGGCATTGGGAACGGATAATAGCATGAATGACGGATATATATTTCCTTGTTGCCAGCTTATAGTACCTAAAGTATGCTGTAATATGATATTCACTATCAAAGATTGTCCATACTGTAAATACAAATCATTTGTGGCCACTACTCAGTTATGTTACCTCGGTTACAGATCCTATTTCCGACTTGTGCGTTACAGTACACTGGTCATGATCATGGCCAGACAGAACAAGTATCTGCAGAAAAAAAAAAGGCAAAAAAATACCATTGCCACATTGTTTGGTTTGGCGGTAGTGAGAGCTGTATTTGAAGTGAAAGAGATAGAGAGCACGGAAGAAATTTATCTTACGGGTTTAATCATATCCAGTAACTTCTTTGATGATTCTGGAGTGATATAATTCTGGTATCTGAATTGTCAGATAAAATACAAAAAAGACAACATTGGATTAGTCCCGCTCCGCCTTGTTAAAATGGCTTTATTAAAAGCTAACTGAAGTTTTGTATAATAAGATGGAACGGCAGAAGTTTACATTACTTCTTGATCTTGAAAATGACGCCAAAACCGCTGTACATGAAAGAGTAGACATTAGATCACAAACAAAGTGCTTAAATTTGAATTAAACTTATCGAATCCGAGCAGATAAATCACCTGATCAATGACAGAAGCACGGCGGTGAGGACCGCATGAGGTTTGATCAGGCCGATATAATGGTATGTGGGTCAATAAAACTCTAGGATGTGATGTTGCATCTAAAACGATAAGAAAGATTCATGCGTAAGGTTTAAGAATCAGAAAATGCAAAGTTAGTAAATGCCGAGGAAGATATAGCTGAACGGCATACCGGTAGAGACATTTTGTACAAACTTCCAAACTTCTGATGCCAAATTCTTTTGAGGATTCCCTGCACAATATATATAAAACTTTTTGGTTACAAATCCTTGAAGAGAAACTGATCAATGCATAGACCATAGATAAGTTTGTAACAACCATCAATAGCTTGTGCATCAATGCTGATGAACTCAATATTTCCAATCATAAATCTGCGGTTTCTGATCCCAAATTCTTTTTCGTATCGATCAATCACCTGTTGGAAATGTGAAGTTATATCAATATATATATTACTTGCATATGTGATATACTTGAGAAAAGAAAAAAGTGATAAGCGTAATACATCTAGCTTATGGGACGCCACCCGAGAATAGCCAACATCATGGTTCCCGGGGATGTAGAACGTAGGAATGTCCCCAACTTTTCCTTGTGAATTCAAACCAAACACATGTTTAAACCGGCTAAAAGATTCCTGCCATCTGATCCAAATGAGAAGACAACCGATTTTCAACGTTTCCATAAACCAGGAAGAAGAAAAGTTGTAAAGAGAAGAGAACAAAGAGAGCTTACTCGTCCTCGGGGAGAAACGGCCCGCCATCGAAATAATCACCTAAGAACAAAACAACGTCGGGTTTGAAAGGCAAGATAGACTGAACAAATGATCTTCTCATGTTTATATCAGTATAAAACTGAGCAACCTCCAAAGCAAGCGTCTTTGATGACAATCGAAACGATGTCTTATCCATAAGCTTCATAAAAAACAACATACAATCATATGATTACAATCCACATTATAAGGCACAACAAAAATTCAATAAAGCAAGCTTCTTTCTTTACCTGTGGATCAGTCACAATGGCTACTTTAGTAAACTTCTCATCACTCTGTATAAGAACAAAGCTATTTTTGTGTTACATTACCAAAAATAGTAAATACTGATAAAAATCGGATCTTCAATTTCAAAAATGTTCCTTCATTACCATTTCTATAACCTATGAACGATTACATGACAAATCTCTCGTAATTGACTAATTTCAGACAGAAACAAGTAAAATACACAATCAAAGTAGAGTAATTGTCACTGAATCTTTGAAATTGAGTATAAAAGATCGAACCTTTAGAAGATTATGGTGAGGCCAAGAACAAGTGAAGAGAGAAGGAACCCAGAAAGCGAACATTTCGCCGTAAAGGATGGTGGAAGCCCAAATGAGACATAGACCCACCGTGAGTTTGTGGTGGTGTTTCATCTTTCCGATCACCTGAAAATCTCTTCTTCTCGGGCTTTGCCTTGATTTGTCGGGGAAAATCTGGTGATCGCTTCGATGTTGACTAAAAGAGCGGTCACTTTGCGTTTTGAGTTAAGTTGCGTTTTGAGTGATAACGCAAAACGCTGAAACTGTGGAATGTGAGAACGTCACGTAGTTTTATAATATTTAATGTAAACAACATGAAAGTCTAGTGGTGGGAAACCAAACGATAACCGGAAAA